CCCGGTAGCTGCTTAGAGATGTTCAGGGAGCCTGTCGCTGCCTGGAGCTTTCACAGCCAGACGAGCAGGGCCTGTGGCTTTAATGTATAAGCTGTTGTGTGGAGCTGAAGGGCTCGGTTCCTGCTCTCTGATGTCTTTTCAGCCGTTTGGAAGCGGTTCCTGAGTCTTCCTTGGGCGCTGTATTCATGAACTCTGTGCAAGTCTCCCCAGAACAGGCCTGCCAGCAGCTCTGTCCCCAGTTCTTTAACTCAAGCCAGGACGCTCTCTTCATGATCAGTCGCTGCGCCTGGCCGGGGCGGGTTTCCTGCCCAGCTGTGTGAAGAGTGCTTGGGTGCTGTCAAAGGATTCATTTCCAAAGTCCATAGCTGTGGTGCTGGGTCCTCTGTCAGCCCTGAGGTCTATGCTTAAATCTCAGCCACGTGCTACAGCCCTTACAGTGCATCTTGTGCGGGGGGCGCGCCTGCTCCCAGATGAGCACCGGGGCGCGTTTTGGCTAGAGAGCCGCTGAGAGCTGCCCTCCCCTCCCTGGCAGCTGCACCGGGCCCCACCCTGTCTAGGAGACCAGCACTAGTGTCCGAGTCTGTGTTCCCAGCTCCGTGTGTGGCCTTCGGTGGAACCCAGACGGGCAGGTCTAGCCCTGGCCTTTCCCTGAAGCACATTACGCAGGTGAAGACAGAATGCACAGGTCCCTTCGATGTCTGGTCTTACCGTCTCTGAGCGGTGGTTACTGTTCACACGCGGCTGTAATTCCAGATACACAATCGGTGAATGACTTGCATCCCTGCAGGATAATACACTAGCCCCCTGCTCTTACACAGCCGTTCCCGGTCATCTGAGGAAGTGGGCTCATGCCCCCATCTACACGTTCGGCTAGTCTCTAAGGTGCAGCAGGGCTGTTGGTTGTTTTTTAAGTTTTTCCAGTGACAGGCTCATGCGGCTCTGCCTGTGATAGCATTTTTCATTTGCAAGTTTCAAGCGCTTTGTAAAGGAGGGATCGGTATCATTGTCCCTGTTTTACAGATCAGGAAACTGAGGCATAGCGAGGCAAGTGGCATGCCCAGGGTCATCCAGCAAACCAGTGTCAGAGTCAGGAATTGAACTTGCATCTTGTGAATCAAGTGCCGCACCATGACTACTGAGGAGAGAGGCTGCCGTTGACAGTCCCCACCCTGTTCATTGTCCGACACTGTCAGCCTGACAGCTGCTAGTTTCTAGGACACAGGGAGTTAGCTGCATCTAGTGCAGGCGCATGCTGGCAAGAAGAGATGCTCTGTTGCTTCTGCGTGTGTTGCCTTGTGCAGTGGAGGTGGCTCACTGCAGAGGCCATTCCTGGCTTCCCTCTGACCCAGGCAGGCAGGGTAGGCAGACGACGAGAGGAGACGACTTGTCCTCCAAGCCTGCCTGCCGTGCTGTGCAAGGGTGGCCCGCGAAGCAGTGTGTGTTCCCAGCCGCGCCCCTGGCACGAGGGGATGCGCTGAGGCTGGCATGCGGCCCTTCCCTCCCTGGTCTCAGCTCGGTTCTGAACACGGCTCCTGGCCGCGTGCCTCCGCGTGCCGGTCGGTGGTGCCACGTTACACTAACCTTTCCCTGCCTCTCTCCCCAGCCTCAGTTGCCGGCGATGCGTTATCGTGGGCAATGGGGGAGTGCTTGCCAATAAGTCCCTGGGGCTGAAAATTGATGACTACGATGTCGTCGTCAGGTGAGTCCTCGGTATCCATGCTGGGTCTTGTGCAGCATGAACAGCGGGGGCAGAGGTTCCGCCTCCGTCCTTCAGGTGTAACCAGCAGCAGGCGCCGCTGGGAGGGAGCGTGCCGTGCCGTGTACAGCTAGCCCGGATGTGCAGTGTCCCAGGGTCCTAACCGGGCAGGCGGAGCCTCCATGCTGCCCCCGCCATGACCTCAGCCCAGCCCTCTCCTCCCGAGATCTTCCCAGGGCGTGGCTCTCCCGGGGTGTCCCTGCTGGCGTGTTAGCTGCTGTTCTAGAGCTGCTCCAGTTCCATCCCATCGGCCCGGCCCTGCCAGGACACGCACACGCGGCCTTAGCCAGGGCCTGTGTCCTGCCAGGGGAGCAGAGGAGCTGTTTGCTACTCCCCTCCTGGGCCCCGGACGCTGGGGAAAGTGCTAGGTGGGAGAAATCTCCCGCCTGGCCTCCACCCCACCCCCTCCTTCTTTCTCGTGACCTCGTGGGTCCTGCTCCCTCAGGCTGCAGCAGCCCCCTTCTTGCAGGGCCCCTGCTGGGCCTCGGGCTCCGCCCGGAAGGCAGGCGGGGAGGGGCTGCAGGTCTTTGCACTAAGCCTCCCACTTAGAGTTAAATCCAAAACGCCTCCTGCTGCCTCCGTGAGGGTTCCCCCTTCAGCCCGTGGCTGTGGGGAGGGGCTGGGCCGCCTGCAGTGTATGGGCTGCCCCGGTGACCCGCTGGCCTGCGGGCTGAGATGCAGAGGGGCGTTCTCAGCCCCTGCGGGAGGAGGTGCAAGGCCAGCCTCAGGCTAAGGGAAGCCGGGTGCTCAGCTCTCCGTCGGCCTGGCGAGTCCCATGGCCGGCGGGGAAGGAGCGGGGCCTTTCTCTTGTGCGTTGAGGCCTGGGCGGGCGCTGGACCCAGGCGCGGGGGTGGATGTGGCAGCGAAACTCGGCAGAGCCGATGCTGCAGCATAGTGCAGGGGCCAGCCGCGCAGCAGGGATCTGACTGACTCCTCGCGGCGCCGAGTGAAAAGGCCGAGGAACTCGGGCTGCAAGTTTTATTCTTAAAACTCTGGGCCAGTTTTGTTGAGGTGAAAACAAAAGCAGACCTGCGCTGGCGCTCCCGGCCAGCCCCGCCGGGCTCCGAGGGCAGGGGAGCATGAGCTGCTCTGAGCTTGGACCCTCCGTTCCCCCAGCAACAGGCCTCCTGCTGACAGAGGCAATCCGCACACGCTGCTCAGGGCCACCTCCGGGAGCGCCCCATGGGGGAATATCGGCAGCTCTGGAGGGCTCTAGCAGGCTTCCCTGGGTAGCCCCGTCTGGGCGGGTTGGAATGTGACGCTAGACAAGACTCTCCTGAATTCCAGCAAGGAGCAGGTGAGGCGGAAGCCCCTGGGGAATGAGGGTGCAGGCCTAGGGGGAGAGGGAAGGGGAGGGATGGGGACAGCCGGCTCCGGGCTCCTGGGGCCTCCGGGCTGGGCGCTCCCGGGGGCATGCGGTCTGCAGGCAGTGGGATCCGTGCCTTGAACATTGCCTGGCTGCCTGCTGCAGGGTGGGTTGGATGGAGGAGTGGAACTTTAATGTCTTGAGTCTTAGTCGGGGAAGAGTGGCAATTGTGTCGTAACGTGACAGAGTTTGTGTCAGAGGGAAGTTTTCCTGGGGCCCTGTGTGCTCTGAGCAGGGCCGGACAGAGGCATGGGCGAGCCGGGCAGCTGCCCAGGGCGCCAACCCATGGGGGCCGCCTGATGGCAGCTGTAAGGGGCGCGCGACGTCCCTAAAAGCTGCCATCAGGTGTCGCGCGCCCGGCTCCCGCAGCACCGGCCCCGCAGCGCCGGCCAGCAGCGCCCTTCCCCCCGCAGCGCCGGCCAGCAGCGCCCTTCCCCCCGCAGCGCCGGCCAGCAGCGCCCTTCCCCCCGCAGCGCCGGCCAGCAGCGCCCTTCCCCCCGCAGCGCCGGCCAGCAGCGCCCTTCCCCCCGCAGCGCCGGCCAGCAGCGCCCTTCCCCCCGCAGCGCCGGCCAGCAGCGCCCTTCCCCCCGCAGCGCCGGCCAGCAGCGCCCTTCCCCCCGTGGCTGCGGGGCCCTGCACGGCCCAGCACGTGTGCCAGCAGTACTGGCCAGGCCGGGCTGGCCAGTGCATGCGCCATGCGCCCCAGGGGCAGGCCCGGGCTGCGCGCCAGCAGCCATGACCGGCCTGCGCATGCGCCCTGCGCCTGGGGGCAGCACCGCACGCCCGGGCCTCGGGCGCCAAAAGGGCCTGGGTTGGCCCTGGCTCTGAGCACTCTGAGCGAGCACGTGAACAGTCCGGCTGCACTGGCTCTTCTCGTGCGGACAGTTATGCACGTTACTATTTGTCATCGACTTGCTTTTCCAGTTCCTTGGCCTGGTGCACGCCACGGGTGCTGGTTTTTGATTCCTAGCTCCAGTGGGAAGTGGTGCACGCCGGTGTGGGCCTGTCTTATGGACCTGGCCACTCGCAGCAAGGTCTGGCTGTGCGTAGGGAGGGCAGGAGCCCAGGCAGCCGCGTGTGGCTGTGCGGGAGAGTCAGGCAGCGTCTCCTCTGTCACCCTGCAGGCTGAACTCGGCGCCGGTGAAGGGCTTTGAGAAGGATGTGGGCGGGAAGACCACGCTGCGAATCACGTACCCGGAGGGGGCCATCCAGAAGCTGGAGCAGTACGAGAAGGACTCGTTCTTCGTGCTGGCCGGGTTCAAGTGGCAGGACTTCAAGTGGCTGAAATACATTGTTTACAAGGAGAAAGTGGTAAGAGGCGGCCTGTGGCGCGTGCTGGGTGGGAGAGGCAGCAGCAGTGTCGTGACTTGGCCTGCAGCATTTGGATCTGGGCCAGGTTTCGTTGCCTGCCCGGGTGCCTGCGTTTCACTGCCACTTCCACGGGCTGGCTCAGTGCCTCTGGTGGCCGCTGTCCAACCGGGACTCGCCTTCAGCATGTCCGAGCGGCCACACTGGGGCGGCGCTCACGTCCTCTATCAGAGCCCTGCCTGCCTGGTCAGTGCTCCATGCTTTTGGCACTTGGAGGGCAGGGAGCGTGGGCTTACATCCTGCCTCCAGGCCCACCAATGGGGCAGCACTAAGGCAGCTGCCCTGGGGTCTGGCACTTCAAAGGGCCCCAGGCCGCTGGAGCCCCTGTGGCACGCTCCGGGCAGCTCTGAGGGCTGCCGGGGGTAGGCAACCAGAGCCGCATTCAGCACTCGAGATGTGGGCGCACCTGGGGTTTATCTGGGGGAGGGGCTGTTCTCGGCTGGCTTCTCTCTTTCCTAAAGCAGCCCAGCAGTCTGTTAGCTTGGGCGATGGCCACATCGAGCAGGCGGCTTCGGAGACCGTCCGTGATGCCAAGGTCCCTCTCAGGAGTGGGCCGGACCCGGTCATTTCGTATGTGCCTCTCCCATTATTGTTCCCTACAGACTGACGGGGCCGTGGTGAATGCTCACCGCTCGCCTGGTGAGTGTCGCCCGCTCACTGTGACTCTGCAGTTCACTGTGCACTGAAGTTTGTATCCTCTGCAAGTGTCACAGCCCCGCTATCACCCCCTTCTCCAGGCCCCCGTCGAATACGTGGAGCAGCATCGCCCCAGTCCAGTGCCTGGGGAGACCCTGAGCTGTGAAAACTCCCCATTCATTCCTACCGCTCGTTTCCTAGCCCTGGGCCAGCCCGTCCACGCACGTCGATGCCCTCACAGCATTCCAGCAGATTGCGAAAGGAGATCGGGCTGCATCACGCCGTGTTGGCTCTTCCCCAACAGGCTGTGTTCACCTGCCGGTCTGAGGCGTCGGCTCTTCCCTAGAGGTGCTGCCAGCTTGCGTGCTCTGAAGTTCGGCTTGCCTGGAGCGATCTGAGTTCCGTTCGCCATCTCCCGGCTACCTGGCGCAGAAGCCAATGTAAGCGATTGGTTACGCGCATCTGGCAAAGGGGTTTTACCTCGGACGCTGATGCCCAAATCAATCTGTTCGTCTTGAAGGTGCCGCAAGACTCCTTGTTGTTTCTGCAGACGCGCTAACACGCGACAGCTCTGAGACTTGCTGCCACCGGTGGTTTGAGTTCTTCAGAAGCCTGGGGTGCAAACCAGATGGTCTGATGACTTATTGCTCCGTGTTCAGTTTGCTCCAAAACCACCGCAACTGACTCTTCAGTCTGGGACATGGCTCAGATGTATCGCCTGGAAAGATCCTCCTTATCCTCTGCAGCGAAGGTGGCTGCCAAGGGTTCCCTTAGCTTCTCTGCAATGCCCTTGTCTTCCCTGAGCGCTGATTTAGCTCCCCAGTCATGTAGTGGCCCCACTGCCTCTTTGGCAGCCTTTCTGCTTCCTGGTGCACTTCAAAACATTGCTGTTGAGTTTTGTGTCCTTATTGCCTGCCTCATTGCACTGCTATGCTTGACTTGCCAGAATTTGTGTTCCTTGAGTGAGTCTCACTATTAATCTTACAAATCTTGTTCCAAGCCGTGGATTTCATTGCATACCGACCAATCCCACATTGTGTGACAGGGCGAGTGTTGATTTTAATGTGCTTCATCCTAGAGTTTTAGGCCAAACAGCATCTAACCTGGCCTCCTGTATATCACTGGCAATTAACAAGCACCAATGGCTGGAAGTGAAGCCAGAAAAATTCAAATTAGAAATGAAGCGAGTATTTTTTAATGGTGTGGGTGATTAACTACTAGAGCGAGCTGCCATGGGGGCTGGTAGACTCTTCATCCCTTGATGTCTCCAAATCAGACTGATGCCTTTCTGAAAAGCGTGCTGTAGCCGAACACAAGTTGGGCCAATACAGGGGTAACTGCCTGGAGAAGCATTGGCCTGCGATTTGCAGGTCAGACCAGGTGATTTAGTGGTCCCGTCTGGCCCTGAACACTGTGAAACCTATGGAACCATACACTGAAGGTCAAGAAGAGAAGCGAGGGAGCTGAGGGATTGAGCTGTTTTGTCTGATGTGCGGCCTTTCAGGCGGTGTGTAGGCCTGACGTTCTTTCTTCAGCTGCTTGATAGAGATCCAGCAACCGTGTGGCGCTTTCCAGCCGAACCTCCAGTTGTGTGGAGAGAAGGGCCCAGAGAAGCAATTTTCCCTTTTTCAAATGATTAACCACGTGGATTCCAGTCACGGGTCAGGCGCCGGAGATCAGACGCTCTCTGGGGCCAGCCCTTTGTCCTGGATGCTCTCATGCCCTTGCACCCCAGGCCACAGCGGGAAGGCCAGGGCAGCCATCTGAGCAGATCCTTTTCACCACCCATGGCTGCCTCCCGCTGTAATAGCTGCCAGAGGTGCACAGGCGGCTCCTGAGGAGACCCTCCATGACGGGCTGCTCCATATTCTCTGTGGGGGTACACCACACGCACGACGCTTTGTGTGAGATACTTCATGTGCGATATCATTGGAACCTACTGAACACGATTATCCCATTGGTTTTCACTAGGGATGTAAAATGTTGATTATTTGGCTACTCGGATAGTCGATGCAATTTGCCTTGACTATTGGATTGGTCGGTGAGGGCGCTTTGGCCTTTGAAGTGCAGCAATCGCCCCAGGGCTGTTCCTACCCTTCAAAGGCGAAGCGTTGTGGGGAGCATGGGGCCAGAGGAGGACTCACTAGCAATGCTGTGGCATTTCAGAGCGGCAGCGCCACGTGGAGCCTGGGGTCAGTTGGGGACCCTGGGCTGCCCACAGCGTTTCAAAGCAGCAACACAGCGTGGAACCCGAGGTCAGCGGGGGCTCCAGGCAGCACTGCCACTTTGAAACACCGCAGGGAGCGTGGGCCATCTGGGGACCCCGGGGGGCACGTGGTGTTTCAAAGCGGCAGTGCTGCGTGGAGCCTGGAGTCTGGCCCCAGGTTCCATGTGGCACTGCTGCTTTGAAGCAGGCCCTTTTCTTCCCCCGCACGCACCCCTTGCTGCCTCTTTCTGATCGAGGCAGCCAGGCAGGGGGCAGTGACTAGTCGTTCACAACCCTACTATGCCCGTTTCCTTTTGTGCCTCAGAGATTGCATGGGCTTTGCTTTGGGTCATCCCCACTGATTACGTGCCAGGGCAGTTGTGGCCCATAAGCAAAAGACAATGGAGCTTAACCTTCCCTGTGGACATGTGTGTCAGCCCATGAAGTGTGGAGACCAGGGCCCTCAGAGACGTGTGACCATGTCACTTGACACCGGAATCCATCTCCAAGAGGAACAAAGGGCTCCCACCTTGGATGAATTGTGTTTAAAGGTGGGGAGTGAGGTAATCCAAGTCATCGGTTCTCCCCTGGGACTCCACCCACGATGATTGCTGGAAGCAGCTGAGCGGGGGAAAGACTGAACTCAGATTGGAAGGATGTCCAGTCTGGAACCAATGTAGCCAGTTCCCTTGGTGTATGACACTTAGTCTGCACGTTCCGGTGTAGTTTCTGGGCTGCATGAACAGGAGAGTGGTGAGCCAGACACGAGGAGTCATTCTTCCGCTCTGCTCTGCACTGATCAGGCCTCAGTTGGAGTATTGTGTCCAGTTCTGGGCGCCATGTTTCAGAAAACATGGAGAAATTGGAGAGGGTCCAGAGAAGAGTAACAAGAATGATTTAGAGAACATGAGCTAGGAGGCAAGGCTGAAAGAATTGGGCTTGTTTAGATTGGAAAAGAGAAGATTGAGAGGGGACATGCGAGCAGCTTTCAAGTGTCTAGAAGGGTGTTACAAGGAGGAGGGAGAGAAATTGTTCTCCTTGGCCTCTGAGGGCAGGACAAGCAATGGGCTTAAACTGCAGCCAGGGAGGTTTAGGTTGGACATTAGGAAAAACTTCCTGCCTGTCGGGGTGGTGAAACACTGGAATAAATTGCCTTGGGGGGGTTGTGGAATCTCCATCTCGGGATATTTCAGAGCAGGTTGGACAGACACCTGCCAGGAATGGTCTAGACAGTGCTTGGTCCTGCCAGGGGACTGGACTCGATGCCCCTCAACTTGATGGATGCCTGGGGCAGTCCCTCGCTCAGCGCAGAGCGCGTCCCTCCACGGCTCTGAGTGCTTCCCCAGTGCCTGAGGGGTGTGGGGGGCCCCCGCCTTTGCCAGCCACAATATTTGGGGGCAGGCACCGAAGAAGGGAACAGTCCCATCCAGGTCACCGGCTCCTCTTGCTGCTCTGGAGCCCAGTGAGCAGAGGCTGTTCACACTCCTGCTCAGAGCACAGAATTCGACTGCGAAGCCGCACAGAGCACCAAGAGCCTGCCTGCCTGCCGCAGGAGAAGTGCCACTCAGCTGAGCCTGTCACTCACCTCGCGCTCAGCCCACTGGCCACCGGGACCCTCGTCCCAGCTTCCCAGGGTCGAGTCCCCGCCCAGCATGCATGCTTTGTCTTGACTCCTAAGGATATGTGTTTACACTGAGCCATGTTAAACCACATTGTGTGTTTGCCTCCAGCTCGCTGGCTAACCCAGATCACCATGTGTCTGTTCTTCACCCCTCCCCCAATCGGTGTGTGATCCGCAAACTGTGTCAGGCTCATTTCACTCTCTTCCAGCTCGTTGGCAAGCGTTAAGTAGCCCAGGGCCATGAATCCAGCCCTGCCAGACCCTGCTAGAAACCCCGGGGATGGCTGATGGTTCCCCCATGTACAGGCAGTCCCCGGGTTACATACAAGATAGGGACTGTAGGTTTGTTCTTTAGTTGAATTTGTATGTAAGTCGGAACTGGTACATATTGTAGGGGAAACTCTAGCCAAACATTTCTCCAGAGCTCAGTTTTATTCTCCCACACCTCACTTCCCTCAGTCCTTTATTCTCAAGCTGAGG